GTCTTTCCACCACCCAGGATCGCTCTCCCCGTGGAGAAAAACAGCTTCCCTGTTTTCTGGTTTGCTTGGCCTGTGTTTCTTTTCAAAAAGATAAGCAGATTTTTGTCTCCTCCTTTCTTACACCAAAGGTAGCACACTGTAGATGGAGCTGGGCTTCTGAAGTGCCCAAATCTCATCAACTTGCCAAATTTTACATACTTGGTGGCTATCTTCCCATTTTACTGATGAGAAAATAGGCTCCTCATTTGCACTATTGCAACTTTTGTGCCATGTTGATAAATAGTCTGTTTTAGAGGTTGAATGAAGCTAGTTAAGATGCCCCAGATCACAAAACTTGGAGATAGTGGCATGCACCTTATAATCTATGCAATCACTGCCACTCAAAACCAACGTCATGATGCTGGGAAGAGTACCTCTTCTTCATCTGGTTTGTAAAGCTCGGTTGTCCCTTTAGACTGGAATTTGTACTATTCTTCACATATCACTTAATTTTTAAATCAGGGTATAAAACCTGGCTGGGACGGGTTTTTTGTTTTTGTTTTTTAAGCTCAGGTGAAATTCACATGATATAATATTAACCATTTTAATGTGTTTAATTCAGTGGCATTTGTGCAATCACCACCTCTATCTAGTTCCAAAACATTTCATCACCCCCAAAGGAGGCACTGTTCCCACTTCCCCTAGCACCTGCAGCCACTGACCTGCTTTCTGTCACTGTGGATTTATCAATTTTGCATATTTTATATAAATGCTACTATACAACACATGATCTTTTGTGCCTTAACTTCTTTCTCTTGGCATGATGTTTTCCAGGTTTACCCATGTTGTAGCATATATCAATGTTCCATTTCTTTTGATGGCTGAATAATATTCCATTGTATGGATACACCACATTTTTTTGTCTGTTCCTCAACTGATGGACATCTGGGAGGGTTTTGACTGAAGTAGGGGACAAGAGTGACTTGTACCCTGCCCTGTGCTGCTTATTAGTCATATGGCCATGGATAAGCTGCTAAACTGCCTTGTGCTTTACTTTCCTCATGTGTCAGATGAAGATAATATCTAACTTTCAAGTGGCTGAAGGTGGGTGAGAATTTGATAGTATAGTTCTTGGTAATTAGTGGACCCTCATCAACAGTAGCTGCTTTATTACAGAATCGTATAAGCGGAGGGGTGGCTGGAGAAGGGAGTACACAAATGTGTGTGATAGTAGGTGTTCTAGTGTGCGTCTTCTGCTGTAGCTGCTCAAACCTTTGTTATTTTTTTAAAGTCCTATCTGTTTTCTCTGCTTGTGTTTTGCTGTTTTCCTCCCCTCCGATCGCCGAGCACAGGGTCTTACATTTAGCAGCCGTTCACTCGACGGAATGCCTGTAGTGGAATATTACATAATTCACATTTAGATTTGAAGAGCTTATTATAAAAAACCTGACACACCAGGAATATTAAATTACTGCAGATTGTGTGGGGCAAGGAAACATTATTGAAGCATTTTAAAATTCTCGGCAAGCCTGAATTTCACTGATAGGGTTTCGCAGCTTTTGCTGGGGAAAAATGATTTGAGTTGTCACATGATTTCTGGCCCTAGAGGACTTTAATCTCCTTAATTACAAAAAAATGAATTTCCTAAATAATTTGGAGTTACTTCACAGCATTTGCTCAACCTCTGGCTTTGGGGAAATTGAAAGGGGGCGCCGGGGTCCCGGCGAGGGTGCGCTCTCTCTGTATTGCAGCTCCCTTGCTTAAGATTTCATTCAGAATGATGCTGGCTTCCTTTCATTATTGATATAAGGGTGTACTTCAGAAAATCACAAGTAATGCTTATAACACTTGAATACAATCACATTTTGTTGAACAAGTGACAGTGGAGATACCCATAGAATAGGGACAGGTACTGTATTGTGGCTCATAAAATTGAAGGGAAGGAAGGGGCTTAAATCCAATCTAGTTTATACATCTCCTTTTAAGACTCTGATCAGTCTTGGCTGTTGGAAATGTCTCCACGGGGCTGCTCAGGACATACACCTTTTCTATATTTTCTGGGTGGCATCTCATACTTCAAAATAAGAAACATGGAAAACTAAGAGTTGACTTTTGCCCTTCTTGAAATTGTGTAAAATCCCTGTATTTCAGCTCATTTTTGTATTTTGAGATTAGGCACCTACTGTGTGCAAGACCAGCATGATGGGAATATCTTAGATTCTCTCATTCCCTGCAGCTTGTCCTTAGAAAGCCGATTTAACCTGCTTAATTTACTCCTCTGTAATAATATGGACTTGTGGTCACGTACCAGCCATGTGACCTTGAGCAGTTAACATAGGAAACTATTAGTGCCTAATGTTTACCAAGTGCTTGCCTGGTAACATGCTAGGTACTCTTTCAAGCATGTTATACATGTGATCACACTTGAATTTTCATAGCAGCTTTAGGAAATTGATATTGTTGTCCCCATTATAAAGATAAATAAACCAAGGCAAAAAGGGTTGAGTAACTTCCTCAGTATCCCAATGCTTGTATGTGGCTCAAACTATGAAGCTGGCCAAACATCAGATCATAACATAAGTAGGGAGAAATTCCATTTAATGAGGGATTAGAAAATATTTCTGACAAGATAAATTGATGAACAAGATAGGACCACAGACATAGAAGCATGAAACAGACTGACAGATCTCATAGGGAAGGCAGGAAGGAGGGAAGGAGGGCAGGAAGAGATTGACCAAAGAAGTTATAAGCGTATATGCACAGCGCATGGACACGGACGGCAGGCAAGGGAAGAACTGGGGAGGGGCGGGAGATGGGGGAAGGGGGTAAAGGGGAGAAAATGGGGGAACATCTGTAATACTTTCAACAATAAAATACATTTTTAAAAAATCTTTCTGCCTGAGATATTTCTTTGAACTGAAGCTTGGGCATGTCAATAGAATATCAAGGCAGACTTGAAAAGAAAGATTGTATGGAAAGGTAGCACAAGGGAAAATTGGGAAGATGGAAAAGTATATCACCTCCTTACTACACTTACGCTTCCATTTATTAGTTTGGTTGTTAATTTCAAGCCTCCCTGCATATTCTGGCCCTTCTGCCTGAAACACCCATTCATTCTTTTATTATACAGCATTTATTGAGTACCCATTGGCCTTTCCCTTATCACCCACTGGACAGAAGCACCATCCTTCAGCATCTCGCAGCGTAGGGCTTCGCTGTGAAACTGTGTTGGCTCTTCCAAGCGCAGGTGGATAATCGATCCTTTGTGCCCAGAATGCTGGGTATCTGCCTGTTTTGGGTCTGGTCGTGTGTATTGCAGTCCTCTACATGGCTGACACGTCTGCTAGACCGAGCTGTGAGGACAGGAATCAGGCTGTGCCTCTGTACTCCTGGCCACCATGGTGGCACTGAATGCTTGTTGATATGAAGGAGCCAGGATATGCACCTGGCCCATAGTAGGTTCTCAGTAGGTATTTGTTGTAACAAAATGATAGTTATATTAATAAAATTAATTACGTCCGTGTATGACTGACTTACGTGACTGTCATCTCTCATGGAACGTTGCCTTTTGGGGGAGAGGAGCGGTTAGGCGAGTGGCAGGGTGCAGATGGATGGCACAACAGTGGCAGAAAAGTTCTCATTTTTCTATGAATAATTTAATGGACCCCATTCCTGGAAGATAATCTTTCATTTTCCTTAGTTGTAGCCTTAGATCCTCTAGTTTGGGCACCTTTCATTCAGGGCTAGTGTCCTTTGAAAAAATAGCTTGTTAAAAACAAACGAAATATCTTTGAATAAAGTGGAAATTTCCCCCCAATTTAAGCCTTAACTATAATTTTATGTGGCTTTTATATTAGACCTTCTAGTTCAGCCATCTTTAGTTGTCAGGACTGAGAGGTTTGGGTCATTGTCCTTTTTGAGCTGAAAGGTCAGCCTTTTTAGGTTAAGCAGTTCTAGATCTGTGGGATGAGCTAAGCATTGGCTGCACAGCCCGAAGATCCATGTCTAGTAGCCCGATCAGCCTGACTTGATCAGAGCCTTGGCAGCTTATGGTCTAGTATACTATTATCTTAATAGTATTTAAACATGGATAACTAATGGAAAGTTTATTTTCAGCTAAACTCTCAAATATAACTGTCAGATAGGTAGTCACTGGAAAAGACTGTTGACTCAACACAGGGAATACGTTCATTCAATTTAATGAAATCAAATGAGATAATGTGTGTGAAGCAGTGGCTGAGGGCAGAGTGTATAGTAAGTGCATAGTAAATACTAGCTGTAATTGAAGCGCTGGTATCATCATTATTATCTCTCCCAGCACAGCGCCTGAACTTAACGGTACCTAGCAGTGTGCAACGCGTGTTTATTAAAGGAAGAATGAATGAGACGTGTGCCTGCCTGCTTCTCTCTCTCCCCACATTAAATGCTTGTCTGCCCTTATAGCTGGGGGACAAGCTGACATAAAAATTGGCTTGCTGAAAGTTTCTCGGTCCCATTTGTCACCTTACCCTTGGAGCCCAATTGTATGTCAACTCCGTGTCCCCTCTGCTGCCTGCCAGTGAGGGACAGACCCAGGTCACTTCCCTATGATCTGCTTTAGCTGTCAAGGCTCTGGTCAAGCTTGGCTGATGGATGGGTGCCCCCTCTGTTAGAAACGTCTCCACGGGCTGCCCAGGAAATGTGCCTGTGCTATATTTTTCTGGGTGGCATCTGATGCTTGAACACTAAGAAACATGGAAAAGAAAGAGTTGGGTTTTGCCCTTCTTGAACATGCAGAGTTCCGAAGGTCTGTTTTGAGTTACCTGGTTTGAGAAACAGTTTTGCAGATAGGCCTCTCCTTCCCTTTGCTGAGAACCCTGTTAGTGGAGTGAGGAAATCATAGAGCAGTTTGCAGGTGGAGACCAGGATTTTCTTGCTTTTGTATGTTTGACTATTTTTTCCCCTAATTCCCGTTTAACTCCAAAGGGGTGGTGATTCTGAATAACCACCCTAATTATTCTCTTTCTTTGATTTGCAGCACTTGAAAGAAGTGAATGAAATGTGCAGCTCGGGGTGTCATTTCTGAAGGGAGGCGTCGTCGTCTTGGAGAGGAGTCCTCCATGAGCCTGGCCGAGGCCCTGGATCTGTGTGCAGTGGACTAAGGATTTAGTAGGATGTCAACTGAGACAGAACTTCAAGTAGCTGTGAAAACCAGCGCCAAGAAAGACTCCAGGAAGAAAGGTAGGGCTGAATTCGTTCCTTTCTTCATGGCTGCTTGTGTGTACAGGAATGAGTTTTTATCTCTGGAATGATACATCATCTATCTTTATGATTGCAAATATTTTTTAAAAAGTCACCAGCATTCTTGGGCATATTTTAATGGTTCTCCATTATTCTCTGGATAAAATCCAAAATTCTTTTTATAACATATAAAGCCCTTGCCCAGCCGGGCGTGGCTCAGCAGTTGAGCGTCGACCTAGGATCCAGGCGATCAGTGTTCGATTCCCGGTCAGGGCACATGCCCAGGTTGCGGGCTGCAGCCGATCAGTGACTCTCATCATTGATGTTTCTGTCTGTTTCCCTCTCCTTTCCTCTCTCTGAAATCAATAAAGATATATTTAAAAAAAAAAAAAACCACACACAAAAAAACATATAAAGCCCTTCCGGATATACCTTCTACCCATCCCTCTAGCAGCGCCCCTGCCTAAGCCCCACCTTAGCCCTGTCACCCTCCAGGCACTCTGTCCACTGTAGTTCACCTTGCACACACCGGTGGCTCTCAGACTCCGGCAGCACCAGAATCGCCTGGAAAGCTTGTGAAAACCCAGATTGCCGAGTCTCGTCCTCAGTGTTTGGTTCTCTAGGCCTAAGACAGGGCCCGAAACTCTGCATTTATAACAAGTTCCCATAAGATGCTGTTGCCGTTGGCTCAGAGACCAGACTCTGAGACTCATTTGACTCTTATTAATCCAGCCTGAAATCCTTTTGTTGCGCTCCGCTTTTTTCTAGATGGACTCCCCCTTACTGTTCAGTCGAGCTTAGTGGGACCTCCAGGAGCCAGGCTTCCCTTACTTCCTAAATTGGGTTAGTTCTTCCTGTGTTTTGCTTCAGTAGCACTTCGTTAGGATCTCAATTTACTGTATTAAAAATGTCCTGTGTTTTTGTCTGTCAGCTCTACTATATACCGTGCAGACCCAGACCCCCTGTTCACCCTTCCACTCCCAACACTTAGAAAGTGCTGGCACAGGAAGGCACACAGACGTCTCCGAATGAAGACTGCCGTGCACAGTGTNTGTCAGCTCTACTATATACCGTGCAGACCCAGACCCCCTGTTCACCCTTCCACTCCCAACACTTAGAAAGTGCTGGCACAGGAAGGCACACAGACGTCTCCGAATGAAGACTGCCGTGCACGGTGTTAAAATAAAATAACTCTATGCATTTCCGTGTTTTCTGGAGAATTTGGTCCTATCGCTTTATGACTGTGCTTTTCAGTAAGTGTGTCTTCCTGTTGTAATCGGATGCAAACAGCTTCTTGCTGTGTGTGTGTGTGTGTGTGTGTGTGTGTGTGTTTTCTCCCCCTGGTTTCAGCTCCTTTCCCCCGTCTTCTCAGCTGCATGGAGCAGGATTGATAGAGCTCTTTCAGGTCTTGAAATCTGTCAATATGGGCTTGCAAACACGGATGCCCTTGGTTGCTTTGGATAGGCAGTGATTTGTTTGAGACTTCGCTGTGCCTGCCCTGTCATATTTGTGATGGCATTTGTCTGACACTCTCTGGAAACAAGGGACATAAATGTAATACATATGCAGCTTTTGGAGAGCCAAAACCCCAGGGAGGACTGTAAATTTTGTTTTAGATGTTTATTTGAAACACAAATATTTTGGAAGCGGTCTATTTTATTCCTGAAAATTTAATGTAAGCCTTGTTCTTTATGCATTGTGGTCTAAGCATAATAGAAGAAAAGCAAGCAGGTGAGAAAACAGGTCTTGGGAGAACTACATGGGAAAAAATTGCGGAATCTGGTCTGTACGAGAATTTAAATCCTTTTGCAGTGGAAACTGACAAGTTACATATTTGCCTCAAATTTAACCTTTCCACTAAACTTGTGCCCTTGAATGCTTAATGCATTAAAAATTGTATCTTCGCGCACATCTTTTCATTCTTAATTTTAACATGCAAAACCAGAAGTATTCTAAAGAGAGGATTCAAGTTTTCAGAACATTGGCTTAGTTGAGGATTTGGGATGGGAGTGTGAAGGTGACCTTTTAATATCCTTCTCGTCTTCATATCCTGATAAGCTCTAAAACCAGCGCCATACATATGCAAGGAGTATCCTCTAGTGAGTGGCTAATCCCACGGAGCCTGGGCAGGCCGACCTGGCTCCAATTCTGGCTCTACCATGTCCTAACTGTGTGACTTTAGAACATTACTTTAGCCGAGCCTCAGTTTTCTCTCCTCTGAAATGAAAATATAGTATTACAAACCTCAAAGGCTCACTATGAAGATTAATTGAAATAAGGCAAGTAGAACACTCAGTATAGTACTTGGCGTATATATTAAAGGCTCAGCAAAGTTCAGCTTTGTTCTTCCTTTCCCTCTTTCCCTCCCGCTTTCTCGCCCTGAGTCTCTCCGTACCACCTCTCAATCTCTCCCTCTTTTATCATCTTTCTTCATTTTCTTCCTCTCACTTCTCTATTTCTCTTATTCCATTTCTACCCCACTCCTCCTCTCTGTCTTCTTTACCTTCATCATTGTCATCCTCATCTTGCATTGTTTCCTCTTATCCCGTTGTAGAGCCAAGGGGATCTTAAAAGGGATATGGCTGACTTGTCACAGAACAAGATTTCAAAAATGGTTTGTAATTATGCAGCAGTGATAAACCATCTTTATTCTTGATATATGTGCCTGACCCAAGACACCATGAAACCACACTCGTGTTAAAGCAAGAAAGCGAACGTGCTGGTAACAGGATTAATTTATTTATTGTTCTTCAGTTTTGGCGATGGCATAGTCAGTGTTCCACTAAACACATGTTAGTAACTGGGCCAAAACAAGTAGAAGTTTAAAAAAAATAAAGAGTTTACATATTGACCTTGAATCTTGAATATGATTGTATTGCTAGACTCTTACTAATACTTTCTCCAACTCCTGTTTGATTTTCTGTGGAGGCAACATATAACCATGTATGTAAGTTTCTGTCTTCCCCTGCAGTACTTAAGTACTTCTTTTTCTTACCTTATTGCATTGGCTAGGTGTGTCAGTATAATATTTAGTGATACTAGGTATCCTTACTTTGTCCTTAAACTAATGGAAATGCTTCTAAATTACTGTAAGTGTGATATCTAAGTTTTTGCTAAATATTCATTAGTTCCCCATTTATCATTTTTCAGGAAGTCTTTTTTAAGTTTTGAATTTACATGTTGAATTTTATTATATGCTTTTTAACATTTATTTCAATGCATATTTTTACTGTTTTAATTTATCTTGAGATATTTCACTGATAGATTTTCTAATCTTCATTTCTGGGGCAAATTCTACTGGTTCATGGTGTATTGTTTCTTATATGTGGATTTGATTTGTTGATATTTTTCCCAGAATTTTGATATCTATATTCATCAACAAGATTGATATATAACTTTCTTTTCTTGCACAGTTTTTGTGCCTGGTATTAGTCAAATTTTATGTAATGCTTTCACTGGTAAGGAAACACTGAATAATATTTAGGCCTTTATCTGGGAAAATGTATAGGTTTCTTTTTTAGTGATTTCATTTGACTTTTTAAAAAGCTTTATATGCTTATTATTAAAACTTAGAAAGGACAAAGTAAGCATGCATAATCCCATCTATCAAAAGTGACTACTGTTAACATTCTAGTTATTTCCTTATGGACTGACTTTCAGAGTGACTTGAAATTATACTCTTTATATCCTGCTTTGTTTTGGACATTATATTGTAAATACGTTTCTCATATTATATGATATTACAGACTAAAAGAGCTTTTCCCCCCTTGGCAAAATTCAGATAGCTCCTGGGGCAGATATTTTATTTCCTACAAAAGAATACCTCATGACATGCGTCATCTGTTGTGGCTTAAAGAATGTTAAGAGGCCCTTTAGAATTACTCATAAACCTATCCCCCTGGTTCTTCACTCAGGCTGTTGAAACCAAGTCAGACAGATTTAAATGCAAGTCACGCAGGGGCATATTTCCCCATAAAACGTGTTTCTAGACAGGCCATGTATGAGAAATAACTAGAGTGTTCACAATTTAAATAAGGAAGGGATGAAAGCAGTGAGCAATAAAGTTGTTTTCTTCATTTCATTTTTACTGCATTGTGTTGCCACACTTAGAGCTTGTCAAATGGTGCAAGTTCCAGGAGTGGGATTTGACGGAGGACTGGAAGAGGAGGATGTGTACTTTCAGGTGTGTCACCTACCTTCAGAGGGGAGAGCAGTTGACATCATTCTTTTTATTTGTAATCTGGCATTCAGCCACCCAGTGGAAGACCGTGGTAGAGGAATGGGTCCCCTGATGAGCAGACTCAGACATTTTTGGGGGGCAGTTCCTGAGGGTTTCAGCCAGCGCCGTCTGGCAGAGCGCTAACTTTGGAGCCAGACAGAACTACTTTTTAATACTAACTGTTCTCATTATCTGCTGTGTAACCAGAGATGGTTATTTAGCCTCTTTGAGCCTTGTCTTTAAGTGTGTGTGTGTGTGTGTGTGTGTGTGTGTGTGTGTGTGTGTGTGTGTGTGTGTGCGTGTGCATGCATGCGCACACGTGCTTGTTCCAAGAACAACTGGGAAAGTGGACAGGAAATATCAAGGAAAATGGACCATGTTGTCAAGCTACAAACATTCATTAATAGCCATCCTTTATTGAATGCTTCCTGCATGCTGGCCATTTTAGATAAATTGTCCCTAATGAGCCCAAATCTTACATCACCTCATGGAACACGTAAGAAAATAATGTTGAGAGAGATCAGGAGACTTTCCCATGTCACATGGCTTGTCTAGATCTAGAAAGCACTAAATCTGCCCACTGTGGAAGTCTGTGCCCCTTTCCATGAATGCATTCTGTGGGTAACCTTGTGCCATGATGCTCAGGGTTGGAGAATGTGAAAAATTACAGGGGCTATACTGTTTTAGGGGGAGTGGGCATGGAAGCAGATTAGCCACGTCATGTAAATTTATGGCACCTTTGTCTTGGCAGGGGTTTGTATTTTGGCGAGCTAATCACTCT